GAAGATCACCGGCGGTGACCCATCGAAATGTGAAGGCAGGAGAGTTGTCGTGATTGGCGCTGGTGCTGTCGGTGTCGAATTTGCTGCTGAGATCAAGCAATATTACCCACAGATTGATGTTACACTAGTGCACTCACGAAGCGAAGTACTTTCTTCAGAGCCACTACCATCAGATGTCAAAGAACGCGCGAAGATTTTGCTCGAAGAAGAGGGTGTCAAGCTGGCTTTGGGTAACCGGGCAACCATTACAGAGCTACCAAATGGCCAGTTCACCGTCACACTCGCGAACAACGAGACAATAACAGCAGACTTCGTCATTGACTCAACGAAGAAGGGCACACCAACCACCGATGTCCTACCTACGGAGTGCCTGAACGAGGATAAAGAGATTATGGTACACCAATCCCTAATGTTCAAGGACACTATCGCGAACTCATCATCTCACTTCGGCGTTGGCGATGTAATCGCATGGTCAGGCATCAAGCGCGCAGGCAGCGCGACAGTCATGGGCCAAGCCGCTGCACAAAATATCTACTCCGACATACTCAACTCCGAACTTGCTCCCTCATCCGAACAATACATCAAGACAGAGCTACCTGCATGGGATGCCGTCATTGGTTTAGCGGTTGGCAAGCAATGTCTGACCTACGACCCAAAGAATGGCATCAAATACGGTGTTGAGGTCATGAAGGGATACTTTGGCGAGGACCTAGGCTGGTCGGCGAACTTGAAGTACCTTGGTCTCACGGATGTTGTGGAGAGGGCAGACAGCCCGGTAGAAGAAGTGGAGGCCACAAAGATGGCTGAAGTGGGCATCAAGCCAGTCAGTGCGCAAGCATAAGCATTTGTAGACAAGAGTCTACGCAGGCGTTTAGGTACAGGTACATGACAGCGAATATCATTTTTATACAATTGGACTGTAGGCTTACATATCGCGCATCTATTGGATATAACCGTGTCGCTGGAGATCAAGGTACAACGTAACAGGACATATTATGCTTACTCAAAAGGGGCAGCTGTCGAGCAACCAACGGAAAATTGCAAACAGTAATGACACATAAACATCGGTTGCGCCACATGTATGCTGTGTGGCAGCCCGTTACCTAAAATGTGTACAGAAATAACGACCCGCCTGTTTTTGGACGTGGTCCGGGTTTCGTCCACAAGGCGTATTCAGGCCTCCGCATCTACGTATGCAGACACTCTCAGTGCTTACATGGTATACAAAGACCATATGTTCTCAGGACACGAATTCGAATCTACACAATCCAGACAGCAACATGGTTCATATTTCCCAGATCAAAGAGAATAACGCCCAGATCGATGAGAAGTCGGCACCTCGTGTTGCAGTGTTCGTTGGCGGAACCTCGGGCATTGGGAAACTTACGCTCAATGCGATAATTAGGCTCGGAACACGCTTTAAAGCTTATGTCATTGGGAGGCAAGAGAGTGAGGCAGCATTCAAACCATTCATCGAGGAACTGCATCTGGCGAACGCGAATGCGAGCATCATATGGGTTGAAGGGCAGATCTCGTTGCTATCCGAAGTGCAGCGGATTTGCGATCACATCAAGAGACTCGAGAGTAGTATCGACCTCCTCTTCATGACCGCGGGGTATGTGAATTTCAGTGGAAGGCATAGTACGTTACTCCTATGCATTTTACCCTTAACAATGATGAGTCGAAGACTTATATCTCTAGATACATCCGAAGGCTTGGAGATAAGCCACGCACTGGAATTTTACTCGCGGATCTGCTTCACGCAAAATCTCCTTCCTCTATTACGCTCCTCAGATCGCGCGCGCGTGATGAGTATACGTTCAGGTGGGATGGAAGGTGACTACTTCTTCAACGCAGACGATCTCCTACTCGAAGCCCCAGGTGCATTTGGAGCCATGGCTTCGGTAAGACATATGGGCAACATGAACACGCTCGCACTAGAACGTATCGCTCAGATGCCAGAGAATAGAAACATCGTTTTTATGCATTGTCATCCAGGTGGCGTGCGGACGGGAAATCTCTTCCGTGGGTTCCAGGAAGGGTCCTGGGGTTCATGGTTGGCTGCGACATTCATGGATCCGCTTATATGGCTTATGGCGTATAGGGAGGAGGAAGCTGCTGAGAGGTACCTCTATCAAATTACGAGTGCGGCTTTTGGAGGGAAGGGTATACCATTGGGTACAGGCGTTATCGCGGGGAAGGACACAAAGGGAGGGAGGGAAGGGAGTTTGTTTCTGGTGCATCATACTTGTGAGACGACGCTGAATGAGGAAAAGTTGAAGAAGTTAAGGGTCAGCGCTCAGGACAAGGTTTGGATCAAAACACAGGAGATTGTTGGCCCGTATGTTTAGTCTCTCAAGGCTTACGTACAACTTACTGGCTAGTGTATTGAAATTGCTGATCAGGTCACTGGCCAGCAATTATGACCCCAGGATTCTGAGTGAACATTGTAATAACGGCTGAAAAGCAGATCCGTTGGGATTCATGGAGTTTGCGGGGATCCGCAAATGGCTTTAATTAGCGATGAAAGTGGTGAAGAAGGTCTTTCCGTCTATCGTAACACTGTAGCATTTCCGAATATTAAATATCAGGAGACTGATTCGTAAGTTGTCGGAACATATTTAGTGATCGCGAACGACTGGGTAAGTGACGGACAAGTACGGGGGATGAGAGGTGTGGCTGCAAATAGGGTACGCTAGGGAGGTGGAACCTGCTCTACCGCATTCCGATCCCCGTTTCGCTGCACGTTGAACTGACGTGCATCATGCACCATGCATCCCAAGATAACTCGCCTTATCGTCACTCATCTCATATCCACCATGGAACGTCTGACAACAATGGAGCAGTTTCTACAAACACCCGCTTGCTCTGTGTTGTGGCCATTGTGCTCATCCGGCTGATGTCTGCCGCGCCATCCTGCCTCCCGTTTCCAATCTCCCGCACAGCCCGGCACTCCGGAAAAGGGGCCACGGTGGCTCGTAATGCGAATAACCCTAACGGTCATCGTAATGTACGTCCTTTTGTGATGATACGACTCTGCTATCAATTGTCTGGAAGCGCTTGCGAAGGTCCTCAAAACAATGGATCCCCACATATCATGCGCGTTGCAGAGATTGTCTCCAGTGGAGTCAATCGACGAGTACACGAAAACAACAACTTGCGCCTGTTGGACCCGCTTGCCACCCGCATTCCGATATGCTCTCAGGCGTTCTAGAAGCGGCCACTAGCTCATTTCCGCACATCTTGGATGTGAACGCCTGTTCGCATGCTGGCCGATGCGAGAAGGGGCGTGTCATGGTTGCACAACTAGGCACCAGAATAATCGGTATCCATCCGAGGCCCCCAGTAATGTGTCTGTCTCTTCCACATCGTGTTTACCTCTTCCATTTCGCATAGTGTTGACGCGCGCTGTGTTTCCTGTATTTGTAGTATCTCTTAATCGTACTCGCGCATTTAGCACGTTATATTCCAGCAAGCGTATATTCGGCCCGAGTCATACAACCCCAGATTTTCCCATACCATGTTTCCCAGTGTGAAGGACCGAGCGCGGCAGTTGTTTGGAGAAGCTGCCATACCCGATACCGCACCACTACCTCCGGTCGCGACAGGAAGGAGAGGCGCGCCACTGAAGGCGGCTGCAGCTACGAAGGCGACCCCAGAACCCAAGACGCCTGCGAAAACATCCAGAGCCGACGCAAGGTCAAAGAAAGATGCCGCACCGGTGGTCGAGGAAACACCAAAAGCCATAGGCGCATGGCCGAGTCCTTTTGCTTCACTCAGCACGAGAACATCGCCACCAGCGACAACCACGCCGCCAACGCCATCGAAATCGAAATCGTCGTCCAAGACAGCTACTGCATCGAAACCAGTTGCACCCTCAAAGTCAGAGAAGCCTTCCAAGGCCGAAAAGTCGGAAAAGACGTCAAAATCTGAGAAAACCGAGAAATCGTCGAAGTCTGACAAAGCTGAGAAGGCTGCAAAGGCTGAAAAATCTTCCAAGTCTGACAAGAAGTCAAGTTCCCGACCGAAGACTCCTCCGACTCCCAAGCCTTCTGGGTCTTTCTTTGGGGGCGCAGCTAAGACTGCTACGCCTGTGAAGAAAAAGGTTGAGCCAAAACCTGCGCCCGAACCTAAAAAGACCTCGCGCCCTAAGCTCGATACCCGCACCTCGTCTCGTCCAAAAATGGAGCGAAGCTCGTCATCCTCTTCCCTCGAAGACGACGACGAATACGGTGATCTCCGCGCTGCCTGCCTTCGAGAAGTATCTAACGTCACCGGTCTCAAGGGAAAGAACCTAGCAATATCTCTGCGACAGCGATCCTCTGGTGGTTGGTATGCGGCGCTGAAAGATGTCGGCGCGGATAAATATCTGAAGATGTGGATGAACCGCGACAAGACATTCAAGACGCAGGACGAAGCGTTAGAGGCCTATTTGGTGTTCGTTAAGAAGATGAATACGGATATGAAGCTTTTTGGACCAATGAGCCCAAAGACTGGGAAGACCAAGGGTTTTTTCTAAACTTTTGACGAACCATCCGACGCGTCAACGTACCGACGCAACCTAGACGTGTTTATGAGAACACGCCACTGTAACATATGTAACACTACGGAGACCGGCATCATTTTTCAGCGAGGCGTTTGGATCCTTCTGCGAGCCCTTGCTTGACTTTGTTGTAAGATATGTAAGATATGTAAGATTACGCGCTATTTGGATTTTTTTTTACTGGCGTTAAGGACGACGAAACGATCTTGCGCGGCGACGTACTGGGCCGGTTTGATTCGGTTCGCTATATACCCCACTCAAGATCTTTCACTCCTCACGAACGTGGCTTTGTTCGTTGATCGAACGGACGAATACGCCATTTACATACACTTGTAATCTATAATACTTCTTTCCGGTCACCCGGCTTTATCTCATTTGCCATCTACGGACAACTGGCCGGCCATACAAGATCACAGTGCTTAGACCTTCGACCTGCCACAGCTTTTATTTTCCATATCTAGTCCTGGCCATCTTCATCTTTTCCCAGGTAAGGATAGAGGTGCTTTACACCCTCCAAATCCCCGTCGCTAACTTTCCACCGTACGTCAATAATCTCCAGATTGTCTTTCTCGACTCTACTCGGTGGACCGAACCCAATACCGCGGTCCTTCCAGAACGCCAACGGCACTTGCATTACGTCGTCTACATCTGCTCCGTCGTTGGCAAACTCTGCAGAGCTATACAACATGATAGACTCATCATCAAACTCCAAATCGTGCTTGATGAACAAGGGCCAGGCTTTTCCATCTTTGTGAACGGGGTCAACATGATCGATTGTATCAAAATCCTGGATAGCCGTGAAATCGTAGAGAAGAGCTAAACGATAGTCGTTGCAAACTTGCTCCATTCGGTGCTTCTTCGATGCGTCGACTTTGGCTTTGGCCGCGGCATAACCCCGAACTTTAGAACAGTCAAAGTGAACGTAGTCATCACGATCATAACGCTGATGCTCATGCCAGAAACCGAAGATATGACCCAGTTCATGGGCAACAGTCGTGTGCCAATACTCCGCCGGGTACTTGTTCTTGAAGTTGATACTGAGATGCGTACCATGGCGACCCGGTGAATCACTCCATTCCGCTGGTATGTAACCCGTGACCGAAGAAGCCTGGACATCGAGGCTCGTGGACTCCTGGATAACGGCAACATCATGCGGATAAGCATCATTCCAGATCCAAGGATCGGAATCCTTTTTGCGTTGGTTGTAGCAGTGGGGCCATTGATCGTGTTGGACCTTGTACTCATGGAACTCAAGTGAGTGGCCGCTCTCACTGCCAGCGTTCCCAATCTTGTCAGTCCAGAGTTTCCAAGCTGCATTAATGTCGTCGGCGAAGTGAACGCGGGCGTTCACGTCTTCGAAACAGTATGTCGTAAGGCCGCTGGGCCATGTCGTTCGAGGCAGTCCAGTCTGACACGACGGTTAGCTAGACAACGCATGTTGGTGTGGATCCAAATATACCATGGTCACGATCTCAGTCCATCTACGATTCAGTGACGAGGATTCATCACGAGGTAAGAGCAGACTGGAGATCATCTGTGATGTTGTGTGGGTGTCATTGGCTAGATACTTGAAGCTGTTAAGGGGTGGTGGACAAGCTACGGCTGACGCCGAAAAGACGAAAAACAATGACCAAAACATTATAGTAACAGTCAATGATGTGGAGGGTATTTTCGCAAGGGCTAGTAGGTGTAGAAATTATATACATAATGGGAAAGGTAAGGCAACCATTCTAGCTGAAATAAGGGAACGTCAAGTCGAGTGAGCGCTCACCTGTCACAACGCTTTCCCGAAAAAGGCGATTTCGTGCATTCTAGTGAAATATTGGGCCTGCTGGCAACAAAGAATCGTGATAACATACCGGACCGTGCTGGGCTGCCTAGACGATGATCTCTGGTGTGATCCACCCCCAACTACTACTTACTGTATGTCACAAAGACTCGTAACGTCATCTAGCACTTTAGTTCCATTCCTTTAAATGAATTCTTTTCTAGCCACTAAGTCACACTGTCCAACGAATTGTTAGCCTAGCCTAGCAAACACAGTTTACGAAAAGACCAGGACATGTCAGCCAACAACTTTTTTCGACTCAATCATTGAGATGCTAATATAGAAAGAATTGAGTCTTAGTCAATAGATTCGAGATCATGTGTCGGAGGAGATGACTGGTAAGTGTATCTTCTCATACGAGAAGTATCGAAGATATAAAGGACTGACAGCTATACGAGAAGAAGGATTGTGAGGTATAGACACAGCACAGATAGCAAAAAAGATCTGGATATGGCGAGGCTCGAACCCGCATCTCCACGCCGGCGAAGCTCCTACCCCACCGGCGATTCCTTCAGGAAGACCCTTCGAGCAGGGCGGCGGCGTCTTGACCATTTAGACCACATACCCTTTGATTGGCATTCGTTACAGGCAGGACCTTTTATACAGCTACAAAATCCCAAGGTTCAAAATAAAAAAATGTGTTATAGATTGTACAGATTGCCTTCATGATGTTTGACCCATCATCTGTATACTAGTTGTATCCAGACCTCAATGCAAATGACAATGTGATAATGAGAAGCCATATAGCCGTCTTCCTTCTGAACCGGTGCTCTTCGCAAGAGCTCTTATCACCAACTCTTTCCAGTCAAAGGAAATAACCATATTCTTCAAGTCGAGCTCAAACAGGAATCCCCTCTCACTGTTATCCGCAAGACTAGTATCGACACCGTCTGCAAGCCTCATGCAGAACAACAATTTCAAACAACCCTCACTCTCACCTCGGTAGGTTGCATATACCTCCATTTGCGTGTTGGGGCCATCGCACAGCCACTGCTCCTCGGATTGCTTCAGTAATTGTCGAACATGATGCCGAATGATATAGAGCTGCATTTGGTCCGTAGGTAAAGATTTCGTAAATGACCATTGAACGCAAGTTATGTCGAAATAGACGCGTTGGTGACCTGGCGAATATCTTATGAAGATGGCACGACGACAGTCTATATTCCTGTTCCGATGCTCGATAGACAAGCGTAGGTGGGTCGGGATAAAGGTGCTTCTGATGTAGATCTCAACGCCGGTTCTGAGAGAGCGAGAGACGCGACGGCAGTCATTCCAGAGATGGTGTGGGTCTTTGGAGTATGAGAAAATAGCAGCCCATATTTCTGGGGGCAGGTAACCCATCGTATGTTTAAAATAGGGCAGAGATCCTTTGCGAGCAACGTGGCAATAGTCTTGGTGGCTTAGCTGTGATATATGGAGAAAGCAAGAATTCTATTTAGAGCTTCGGGCCTTCATTGTATCTCAAAAACTATTTCATTATTGGAAAAGACTGATGATATCGTGCATGGTTACAGTACCATGGTTACAGTAAAGTCAACGAAACCGTCGGTATACCGGAAACACTACAGTAAGCGCAAATGATACGATTCATGAAGGTGAAAGAAAACAACGTTATCGATTGCAATATATCATGTATTTAGTGGAGGTGAGCAAGACCAGAGTGCATTATTCTGTAGCTATTACGTAAGCAGACCCTGGAGACTAGCGCGTGGAGCTCATAGTCGTGTTGCGCGACGGTTGTACAGCTACCATCACTCTTGTAGCCTTGCCATACACCGACCTTCTCGCGCCTGATCTCCTGCTTTATAGTGAGCCACGAATAACTTTGGGCTCCGCTTTCCCAAGATGCCGGCCACGGTCCAACCATCGCACGCGCCGCCACCGCAGATCCCAGGCTTCCAGATCCCGAACGACGAGGCGCATTCACTCAAACAAACTGTTGCCGAACTACTCGAACGCGAAAACCTGCGCTTCCCCGGAGCGCAACCCGTCTCATTCGCACGCGAACATGTTACTGAGCTTCAGCGCAACGAATACTTCATGTGCGAGAAGACGGACGGCTTGCGCTGCCTCCTCTTCTTACACTGGCGGGAAGGACCAACTGGCGCTTTCGAGCCTGTGACCTTTCTGATCGACAGGAAGAACAACTACTACAACGTCGAGCCTCCCTTTCGGATACGTCATTATCTGCACCCCAACGAACCCGAGCCCTTCTTGTTCGGCACCATCCTCGATGGCGAGCTGGTTCACGATCAATACCCGGGCGAGCCTGCGCCGCGCCTCAACTTCTACGTTTTCGACTGTCTGGCGGTGGATGGCACAAACGTGACGGGCAGGACACTGGACAAGCGGTTGGGTCGATTACACGATTGGGTCATCAAACCATACGAGGCCAACTTGACGAGGACCTTTGGAAAGAACATCACGCCAGCCGACCTCAAGCCGTTCGCTCTTAAGGGAAAGAAGACCTACTCTGCGTATAAGCTTGAGGACATGTTCAGCAATATCCTTCCAAACCTCAGACACGGCAATGACGGCCTGATCTTCACCTGCGTGTCTACACCCTACCAGTTTGGTACCGATAGGCATATCCTCAAGTGGAAGCCTCCCCACGAGAACACCATCGACTTCAAGCTCCGCCTTGGCGAATTTCCACTCATGGACCCACAAGACGGTGAAGATGGCCCCATTACCGACTACGACGCAATGCCCAGCCCCATTCAATTGCTCGTTCAGCACAACTCGAACCACTACGAGGTGTTCGCCACCCTGTCTCTCACTCCAGCCGAGTGGGAGACCCTCAAATCGCTCAATCAACGTCTCGACGGTCGTATAATAGAATGTTACCGTACAGAACGCGGGCAATGGAAATACAAGGCGGAGGCAGATGGTACCCCACGCTGGCGAGACGACAAAAAGGACGCGAACCATATCAGCACAGTTAACAGCGTGCTGGCTAGTATCGAGGCTCCTGTAACCGAGATGGATTTATTGGCCAACGCAGAAAATATCAAGCGGGAAACTTACCGCCTGCAAGGCAAGCTGGACCAATACCGACCTCCCCAGGACGGTGAGCGTGAGGCCAAGAAGCGGAAATATAGCGACTCAGGCTTGAACGGGCAATGATAGATGGAGTTTGTTTTTAATCTTTAACCACGAGGCTTTCTGGTGTACCATTAGCGTATCGTCGTTATTTCGATATAGGCGTTTATCACGGGGTTCCGGCGCGTTCAGGCAGTATATGATACCCACGCTCAATTGATATAGATGGGGCGGCTCAAATCGACTTTTGTTGCTCCTATTACTACTTTCCTTGGTCTCCTTCCGCCACAGGCGTCTGACATCTCGCGGCGCATACCAACCTTAATTAGCAGGAGTCAAGCACAGGGTGAATCGACTCATCTTTGAGTGGTATCTGGTCATGCACGTAGATTGTTGCAGTATTGAGACGATGATTCATATAGTAAGAAGACCTCAATTCTATCTAGCTCGCAGGCTCGAGCTCGGTCTGTTTTCCATACAGGACACGGAAGAAAAGAGGTGTCCAATATCCCATTCCCAGATCATGCCATGTAGTGGTACTTTTGCATCGCATATATCATTCCACCTGAACACTCATATGCGCGTTTATATCGATACAATGATCATCCGATCGATCGACAGAGCCCATAAGGTAAGCCCTCCACTCGGAACCGACATACAAGAACGTTGCTCAAAGTACGCCCCAAAACACCAAGCAATGGCTAAGCGAGTGACGAGACAAACGACATGGGGCCAATAGTAACATGTCTGATTGAGTACATAGAGATGAAATTCGTAAAGTCCTAAGACGCAAGGAGAAACATTGGGAAGGATGGTGTCTGTCTCTTTGCATAATGCTCGCTAGCAGATGCGTGTAGGTGAAGATCCGAATCATATACAAGAAGATAGTGCTGCTTTTCCTGGCAACACCACAGAATCTAAGAAAAGATGAGAATCTAAACCCTCAGGCGAGGCAATTATCTCTAAAGAGATGTTAACGGCGAACGCTGTTCGCAGGGGACGCATTTCTGCTTACTCTGCCACGTCGCTGATTGCCTCCAGCGGCCTGTTGGTGCTGGGGTGGCATATACATGCCGTATGGTGGGTACATGCCTGGCATGCCCTGGCCGGCAAGGTTGGCGGGCTGCATCATCGGTGATCCGTTGAAGCTGCCGGGACCTGCAACGGGCGAGGCGTTGCGATAAGCATCCATACCCGGAACTGGGCCTTGGAAGCCGTTCATCTGAGGATAGAACTGACCCTGTCGGGCCAAGAGCTGCTGGTATTGCATCTGCTGCTGGTTGTTCATAGCCTGCATGTTTGGCATGTACATGGGTCCACCACCCATTGGGTACTGCTCGAAACCGTTGGACTCCATGCTTGCTGTGCGCTGAAGTGCGACAGGGTCGTAGCCAGGAGCCGCTCCTTGGTAGAAGTTTCCAGGATTCGGAGGTCCAGACGCAATGCTATCCTTAGATGCTGGTCGAGTTGCGGAATGTTCACGATGACCAGGGCCGCCACGAGTGGAGAGACCAACTTCATCCATAAGTCGCTTGTAGCCTTGTTGGGGCTGCGCCTTGATGCGCAGCAGCACATTGCGCACATTCTGTACC